GAAAGCAACCTGCATCCGCACGTCTGCGCGTGCCGCGATTCGCCACTTCCGCGCATGCGCATGACGTCATTTTGACCATCTGCACATGCACAAGTGGTGAAACCCGGAAGTAACATGCTCCGTTACTTCCGGGTCACTGCAGCACGCAACCCGAAAATACTTATCCCGAAGCTCCTTCAACCCGAGGTATGACTGTACATGAAATGGCTGTGGTTTTTTCCCTTTACAGAAATAGGAATTCAGTCTAACTAATGGGTAAAATCCATGAGGAACAGAGCTAACATTAATATTTATGTCCACGAACATAAAGTTCATAAAGGAAAGATAACATCTTCTGGAATAAAATTTAATTTTGATACTATAGGAATTTGTATAAAAATATCAGACTGAGGACTTATAGGGGACTAACCTGTAAGTTAACACGCAGTGGTTTCTATTATTTCTTGAAGCTGATTTACATTCTTCACCATATGTTTCAAAAACTTAATCAATAAAAGATTAGACTGCCTTTAAAAAATCCACAGCCATGCTAAAAGGCACCTGTTAAAATATATGGTGCTCTGATGATTAAAAACAAAGAGAGAATACTTGTCTGAAACCAGGTCATATCTTAGTCTTAAGAGGAAAAGAAGAAGATGACTAGCAAGGCCTTATTTGTGTGGTTCTTTTTTTTGAAGATAACAGACCCAAATCCAAAACAGACCTACACTTCATTAAAGCCCATTGAAACAAATGGGTTTAAGTAAGCATAACTTTGTGTTGGATTTAGACAATAACATTCCTCTATGTGTGTACACACACACCATAATCTCCAACTGCCCCCAACATGCTAGGACCATCACTAAAAACCCTTAAGGCACCAAGGCTTCTCACTACGTTATACACAGTCCAGAATTTCGCAAGTGGTGAAAGGATGTGGGGAAGGGCAGGGTGCGCAGGAGGACCCGTAGGGAGGGGAGGGGCACCAGCTGCCGCCACTGTATTCCTGCACTCCACCAGCCAGTACTGCTCAACGAATCCAACTACAGTGATTACGGCAGCAGGAGCAGCCTAAGGGGGCGTGGCTTGTGCAGGGACACAGATGCCCTCCGCCAGTCATAGCTGCAGACCATAGAAACTATTATGCTTATGCAGAAGTGCCGCCTTGAAAACATCCAGCACAGGTGCCTCTTCTGATGCCCAAGGTAGGCAGTGTCAGATATTTAGTCAAACCAACAATTCATGTTATGCTAGATAAGGGGTCAGCAAACTTTTTCAGCAGGGGGCTGGTCCACTGTCCCTCAGACCTTGTGGGGAGCCGGGCGAATTCCTATGCCCCACAAATAACCCAGAGATGCATTTTAAATAAAAGGACACATTCTACTCATGTAAAAACATGCTGATTCCTGGACTGTCCGTGGGCCAGATTTAGAAGGCCATTGGGCCGGATCTGGCCCCCGGGCCTTAGTTTGCCTACCCATGTGCTAGATAATCCCATGATTATCTATATATTCTCCTACTTCCCTGGGCACAACCTCTGCCTCTTTTTCGTCACTTTCCACCAAGCCAGAAATGTGAGAATATCTACTGAGTCTGAGCTAAATGCTCAGATTGCATTTTAAGCTAGACTTAAGTATGTCTTTATAACTGAATTACCATTTTAAGCCTGCCTGAACAAAGCTGCTGTGTCTGTTACTCTTCAACAAGTATTCTGAGTGAATAAATGTTATTTTTATCTTTTACAAGACTCTGTGATTATTGTTTTAAGGGAGCAAAAAGGGGGAAATACCAAGATAATTCAGCCTGCCTTAAAACTTTTTTGATTAGGTAAAGGGAAAGAAACCCCTGACCATTAGGTCCAGTCGTGGCCGACTCTGGGGTTGCGACGCTCATCTCGCTTTACTGGCCGAGGGAGCCGGCGTACAGCTTCCGGGTCATGTGGCCAGCATGACTAAGCCGCTTCTGCCAAACCAGAGCAGCACACGAAACGGTACCTACTGGTATTTATCTACTTGCACTTTGACATGCTTTCGAACTGCTAGGTTGGCAGGAGCAGGGACCAAGCAACAGGAGGTCACCCCGTCGCGGGGATTCGAACCACCGACCTTCTGTTCGGCAAGCCATAGGCTCTGTGGTCCTTAAAACTTTTTTGATTACTTAAACTAAAAGGCTAAGACTAGCCTATCTAAGCTTACCTTTTAAGCTGCAAAGGGATGGCACTCTGCTGAACTCACAAACGAGAGGAAGGAAGGAAGGATAGTGTCTAATAAATATACCCTCACCTAGCATCAATTCACATTCCAACAGGCTGAAGCAAGCCTCATCTAAGGCTTCAGCATATAACCAAGACAATTGCCTGTATGGCATTGTTACATACTCCTCTTGGTAACAGTTGTTGGGGCAGCTCAGCCAACCCTGCTCTTTTCCCATATTTTCCACAGCAGTGTGCATATATATATGGGTGCAGGGCAGGGGGCACTGATGCAGAATAGAATGGCCCTATTTTCATCTGAGGAATGTTGGAGAATATGGCACACAATAATATTTATAAATAATAATATTTATAAATAAGACAGGCTCCCATCTGGGTCAATTGGCCAATAGCAGATAAACTGATCTCTGTACATGCAGATATATTAGCCATGTCCCTCTAGACATAAAAGCTGTGCCCTGCATAAATGGACTTCCTCCAAACCTGCCAACATTGTCACATGCTCATTGTGATGACACCACTAGTCATGCTTTGTGAGGCATCTCAGCAAGTTCTGGATGTTTTCAGACTCACTTGCTGTCTGCCAGGCATGTGGAAAATCTTCCAGTTTTGATGCTTCTGTGCTGTTAAAACTCTGTATTTGGTCAGGGACTATCTGTATTGGGCTTACTCCTCAGCCCATTTCCACATCAGTTTGGTGCAGAGTTCTCATTGCCCATTTTCCCTCCCTTTCTGAGTCTTTATATGAAAACAATCCCTGCAGTTTGATAACACAGTATTTGGCTTGGGTGAAAAATTGCTTCAGCATAAAGCAGGCATTAGCCAGACCAAGAAATCAATTCAGCAGTGAGGATTTTTATTATTCAATCATGTAAGTAATTAAAACCATTGATTGATGGTATGGCAACACAGCTGACGCTCTCTCACTCATGCCCCAGCAAAATGGTTTGCACCCCCTATTCTCATCTGCGAAACAGCACACAGGTCCACTGATAATATTTCCCTAACTTATACTGTAAAGGTAAAGGTAAAGGTACCCCTGCCCGTACGGGCCAGTCTTGCCAGACTCTAGGGTTGTGCGCCCATCTCACTCTAGAGGCCAGGGGCCAGCACTGTCCGAAGACATTTCCGGGTCACGTGGCCAGCGTGACATCGCTGCTCTGGCGAGCCAGAGCCGCACACGGAAACGCCGTTTACCTTCCCGCTAGTAAGCGGTCCCTATTTATCTACTTGCACCCGAGGGTGCTTTCGAACTGCTAGGTTGGCAGGCGCTGGGACCGAGCAACGGGAGCGCACCCCACCGCGGGGATTCGAACCGCCGACCTTTCGATCGACAAGCCCTAGGCGCTGAGGCTTTTACCCACAGCGCCACCCGCGTCCCTAACTTATACTGTACACATCTGCAACTCTCAGCAAAAACATGAGACCCAATCACTCAAGAAGCCATCTTATCAGGGATATATACACCTGTAAATAAATGTACTACTACTGTGGAACTGCCATCAAATCATTTGAAACTGGGGAATTGTACATACTACTTTGGATAAAATATTGTATAAAATGCTTTGGTGCAATATACACCAAGCTAACACACTACTGCATGTTGCAGACAAAAATAAGGAAATTTCCCCAATTCTACTGCCTTAATGTCATCCACCACCACCCCTATATTTTGCTGAAAGATGCCTTGGTTTTTGCTCTGCCATAGCCCATCGTGGTTTGCATAATAAGCAAAGAGCATGCATTTCAGTCAAAGACAAACCAGCAAAACATAACAGTCCTACAACAGGGCATCAACAGTTAAGAAAAAACCTCAAGAGCTACAGCATATGAGCTCTCAGCTTATACCAGGATTGGGGATCCTCTGGCCCTTCAGATGCTATTAGAATTTCCATCACCTTGAACCATGCTAGCTAAGGCTGATAGTAGCTGGGAGTTCCCCATCCTTGGCTAGATCAGGGGAAGAGGCTAAAAACTGAAGACCAGAAACTCATGCCTACATCATTTTTGAAAAGCACCCCCCCCCCAAATGATGATAATAAATTGCCAGGGATACATCAGAATAATTAAGTGGGGCAGCTGAACCTTATGCTAGATCTATTAACTGTACCGTGGTACCTCGGGTTAAGTACTTAATTCGTTCCAGAGGTCTGTTCTTAACCTGAAACTTTTCTTAACCTGAAGCACCACTTTAGCTAATGGGGCCTCCTGCTGCCGCTGCGCCACCAAAGCCCGATTTCTGTTCTCATCCTGAAGCAAAGTTCTTAACCTGAAGCACTGTTTCTGGGTTAGCGGAGTCTGTAACCTGAAGCGTATGTAACCTGAAGCGTATGTAACCCAAGGTCCCTCTGTACTTATTGGTTTCATAAAATGTGTAGGTCCCTGCTTCCAAAAAAGGTTCTATTTTGCAAGCATAAATATTGCAAAATATTGAGAAAGCCCTAATATCATTCCATCTATTGATACTTGGCTACCAGAGTAGACCCAGGTAGAAATGAATAAAGCCAACAAAAAAGTAATGGAAGGTTAATGTTTTGGTACTATAATTATCCCAATTGTTTAGTCAAGCTGCGTGTATTATCTGTGGTTTAGCTGTCTCTTATTTCTTTCCCTAGACTGCAGCAATACAACCTTGCAGCATGGAAACAATTGCTGTGCTGTGAGCATCACTACTGTATCTACCTTCTGTGTTTCTGTAGCACTGTACCAGTCAGTATGATAATACAAGAAGTCAGACTTGGATCCGAAACAAAAGAATTCCCGTGAACAGATGCTGGATATCAATGGAGTTTGGGTTGTGTCTTTTTACCTGAGTTTAAGCCAAGACGTATAAATCATCATTGCAGCTTTTTCGTTCCATTTCTTCTACTTCTTCCTGGCAATGCACTTAGACATGCAAAGTCTTAAAATGACGACATCTTCCTCTCCTGTGCGTTGACTTCAAGTAATTAAAGCTATAATAGGTCTCTCTGTGAGTTGTCAGCTTTTCAGGCAAGGCTTCCTCAAAAACTGATGGTGGGGGTGGGGTCTGAGCATATATAAAGAGGGGCTGGGGAGGGGAAGAGAGAGGTTATATCAGGCCTGTTTTAATATAATGAAAGGGAGTGGAATATTTCCAGATATAGTAACTAAAACCAATACAGAAAGAGAGGTTTTAGTTTGTTCTCAGAGGACAGCATCGAGATAACATTTCTAATTTGAATGTTTCGCTCTGTTTTAGGCCCCTTCTGTTCTCCTCTTTCCCAACCTCAGAGCCAAACATATTTTTCCACATATGGAAATGTAGTAGACTCAGAGCCTCACTGGTCCCCATTATTGAAATACCCAATAGTCACTGAAAGTTGAGAAAGAGATTATAGATATCGGGGTTTATGCTTTATTTGAACCTTTCATATGCAGCTGTAGAAAGCAGATCCAGCTGAGCCCAAGGGCGATGTGTTCTTCTGCAATGACTATTCCAAAATATCTGCTAAGGGATGCAAAATCATAATCCCAGCAAGCACTGGGACTGGGGGCTAGAGAGACTGGGGTCTAGAGCAAGCACTGGGACTGCTTCCTCTTCTGAGAAGATCCCATCTACCTTAGGCTTTGGGATCCGGCAGATCCTGGCACTGTGCTGGCATATGGCATGTTTCTGTGCATATTTGGTGTGCTCCTGGGACCATATGTAGGGAGAGACTACCAGGACTTCATTTGAGTAGCAGTTATCATAAGATGCCCATTGGTTTCCTTGACCTTGCAAACATGGGACATAAAACCATATCCATTCTTCTTTGTGCTATGTTTCATGAAATACAATTTTTAAAAATAGCATCATATGATCCTCAGCATTAATGTAATGCATTGTGGGAATTATTTTGGGAAGCCTACTCAATTGAAACCAATTTACCTGCCAATGATTCTCCATCAAGAGGAATTTTCATATGAAACTATTATTCATCATGTTTGCCCAGGAGAACAGGCAGCCCTTATCCCAACTTTTCAAGATTATTTTTAGAAGTCTGTGTCCTGCTGGCTGTACTTCCACCACCCACCACCTAAACACACCAAAAAGAAAAACAAGAAATAGCTCCTCTTTTTGTCAAAAGAAAAGAAAAATGCTGTTTTCCTTCCCAGAAACTTCTCCCACAGCACATACAGCCAGGCTGTCCAGTACCAGTGAATTCTCTCAATTTACAGTCTGTTTAAAAACCAACTGCTTCTATCACCTGAGAATAGAATCTATGCAATCTGTACAGTCAAATCTTTGCAAATCTATACAGAGTGGAATCTTCAGTCAAAGACCCAATAATCTGGATATATGTAAACCAGTCAGCCTAGGTTGTGAGTTTGACTAAAGTAAAAGGCAATGGTCACATTGCTGTGATTTTATTACTCCTCCTGTTCCTCACTAATGGCATCTGATTGGATTTGGGAAGAGTCAGTGGCAGCTACAGCTGCCAACTTTCTACAAAGCACTGTAGCTGTCTCTTTGGCAGACATCAGGAGGTGTTAATGTTTATTTCCAAGCTGTGGAGCTTCACCTGCTGATTTCCTCCCATCAAAAAGCTGTTAAAGGCATAGAGCAGGCCAGGCAGCTGGAAGGAATAGGAAAATACCTCCACTGATGGATTCAGCTGGCTGGTGGGGGCAGGAAAGAGTCTATGCCCTACATCTTCGACTCAAAAGCAAAGAAACAAACAATTGTGTCACAATAAAACATTAGGTGCACTGTAGCTTGCCTTGCAGGTCTTAATTTGCCTCCTTCACTCAGCTTTTACAAGAAGAGAAATTACCTTTGAATGGGGGAATCACATTTGTGATTGTACAAACTTAGTAGCGCGTGGAAAAACAAACCACACGCTCCTGCTTCCTCCTGTTCTCAGCACAAAGTGTTGTAGATGGCATAAATACCCAAGCGGACAAGAAAACCCCTTGTTTTACAACACACATATGTGGATTTTTATCTGGCCTCCAACACATACACATCCCAGCAGGTTTACAAACCTCGACCCCCTCCAATGCAATCAATAAAGAGAGATCAGCAGTGTTAACACTAACAAAAGATTTAAAATACACAGAGATTAAAAAGAGCCTCAATTAAAATTTTATTCCATCAAGGATTAAAAAGAGTTAATTAAAAGGCCTGGGAGAATTAAATGGGGTTTGTCTAATAGAAAGGTCAAAAGGTACAGAAATCTTCCTGGGGAGAACATTCTGCAAGAGGGTTACCACCCCTAATAAGAATCTCTTCTTGTGTTGCCCTTGCTCACCTCAAATGGTGAAGGATCCCAGATGGGGGCGTCCAAAGTTGATCTGAATGTATAGGGAGAGTGAATTCATCATTTCTCCCGGCATCTGAACTGTAATGTAATCAAGACAATTTCCCAGACTATTAAACCATTGCACAAAATAAGGACTTGAGAAATCAGTATGCATTGCTGTATCTACACACGTTATTATATTATATTATATTATATTATATTATATTATATTATATTATATTATATTATATTATATTATTATATTATAATATTATATTATATTATATTATATTATATTATATTATTATATTATATTATATTATATTATATTATATTATATTATTATTATTATATTATTCAGAGGACACACCACACCAGGAATGCAGCGCAACCCATTTTGACTTTCCCTTCATTTTATTGGCCCTGCACCTTTAACAGAAACCTAACAGAAGTTAAACAGGTCAAAGTGGGTTTGCTATTTCCTTGGCATGGAGATATGAGCGATGCTGAAAACTCCACGTGCTAAATTTAAAAACACAGAATCAGGACCACTGAATGAACGTGGGGTGGAATCCTGACCCCTTTCGTGGGACCCAGTGGTCTGATGTAGAAAATTTATCCACAAACAAAAAAGTGATAAAATGCTACCACTTTAATGGAGGGTAAGGTCTGCTACAGGACATGTCAGGCGAGATTTTACCCAAGGACTGCCTGGCTCACAGTTCAAACTTGGCCATTATGTTACACCAGCTTTTCATTGATCATTTCCAGAAGGTTAAAGAATCCACCTACACTGTCTCAGAAGATGTACAGCCACGTTTGACACCTGGCTGGCATCAAGGGCCCCAGGCCCACATAAAGATCATTAGGGGATTAAAATTTCCTCCTCTCTTCTTCTTCTTCTTCTTCTTCTTCTTCTTCTTCTTCTTCTTCTTCTTCTTCTTCTTCTTCTTCTTTCCTTTTGTAAAGCACATGAACTGGGCAGGTTGATTTTCTTAATTAGGAATTATTTTAATGTCTTTTTTGCATTTTGTACAAGTTTGCAGTTAGGACTTTGAGCTTTGCAATATATCTGTTAAAGTTCAAAGTCTCTGTGCTAAAAGAACATTAATAAAACCGAGAAGTGGTGGCTCTTTCCTTCGACAGTAATTTATTCAGATTCACTGACATTTGTGCTGCTTTTATATATATAAAAAACCCAGATTAACCTGCAGAAGGAGCATTATGTTTGCTCAGAAGATTATGTGGCCGGAAACCTATTGCACACCCACAAGTTGCTCTCAGTTAAGGGAGCATGGGTAATGTCAGCATACCATATTGCATAAAACCACCTTGGAAGGATTTGATCCAGTGTGTCAACATGACATTATCTTAAAAAGTCAAGGAAACTTCCTGGCACGACTAAAACCTGTATTACAGGCATCCTCAGCCCTCACTAGCAATGCTGCAAGATTGTTTAGATAGGTTCAAGGGTACATGTAAATATTAGCCATCTCCACAACCCAAACCCTGGTGGGGAGGGCTACTCACATATTTCAAATTTGCATGTAAAAATGTTGCAGTGCATGTCTTACAATTTTATATTCAAGTTTTATATTGTAAGCAGCATGAATGTTCATCTTTCATGGACTGTATGCTCAACAGATGAAGTTTGGGTGAGAAGAGTAGGTCATCACACACACCCAAGAAGGGATCTGCATGGGGATCGACGTCTTGCATTGGGAAAGAGGGTGGGGCTGAAGGGTATTTGGGACATTGTGCATGGTGGTTGTGGGGAAGGTTTCCTCCCATGTGCAGCTGGCCACACAACTGAGGAATGGATTTTGCCCTTCCCCATGAAAGTAACCTTGTGAAACCAATACTTTTGATGAAATGACGGAAATTAAATCACTTCACAAAATCATTATTTCACTCACTGGTTTAATAAAATGGCTAAATTGTTCAGTCATTTGAGGGAAATGACTGACATCGTGAGCATATTAATACACTCTGTTTCACTGCATCAGCAGCTTCACCTGGAGTGGCAAGCCAGAGTTCTGGGCCCAAGCGTTGTCAGGGCAACGACAGACTGTTATTGAAAGAAGAGATCCAAACTGGTCAGTTGGTTCCAGGGAATCAGTGGGAAGGCCTGGTCTTAAGTTACCAGTGAGTTTCTGATGTTTATTTAAAGGGCTATTTGAAAACCAGTTATCAAATGACCAAGTGCGACTGTGGAACTTGCAACCGTGGCCAACCAAAGGGACTGGATCAGCCAACATTAACAGAAAATGTTCCCCAATTCCTGTGTGAAGTATGAGGTATGAATCTATCTCAGTAGGATTTAAATCATATGTAATTGTGCCATTTTGTGACAGCAGTAGCCTTGGCCTGTTGTAGCTAAACATACATGCACTTCATTAATGTTTTCTTTTCATTCTCCATTATAAACAAAAAACAAAATTGGGGTAGTGTTGTTTTTAAATTCACCCTCACCACATACAACTGTCACCCATGGGTGTATCTAACAATAAAACTGAAAAGAGCAGCCAGAGGTCCTCTAAAACCCTCCTCTGTCCTCTCTGGTTCTGCCTTGCTTTCTCTCTGAGGCATATGGCATCTGAACTTGCCCTCCATCTGAATGAAGCAAAGCAGGAACCAATCCATCCATTACACAGACAGTTTACAGAGGACAAGATCTATACTGACTGACAAACAAAAAAAGTTCCATGATTGATAAATGGACATGGGGGAAAGTGGAGGGGAATACAGGACAGAAAGAATAAGTTTTGCTCTAAGGACCATCAATTTTGTACTGTTATTATTCTGCTGGAAGTATACTCCCCCCCCCCCAGCTCTCTGTTCAAGCCCAGTGGTTTTACCAGTCTGCTCCTGGCATTGCTGGGTACAGAGGAGAGTTCAACATTTACTGAAATGTAGAATGAAAGCAAAATGCTCACCTTTGGGAGCAAGTATACAAGCCTGCCCCTTGTGGCTCATTTGCACAACCGAGTTGTGCAGAGTTGTTAGGATAGCCTGATTCTGCTCACAGAGCTACAGTTCTCAGAGCTTCCCTGAATGAGGGGTGATTGTTAAACCACTCTGAGAATTGTAGCTCTGCGGGGAGAATAAGGGCCTCCTAACAAGTCCCAGTGGTGCTCCACCATAGGATCTATTGGGGGAGGGCCGTAGCTTAATGGCAGGGCATCTACTTTGTCTCCAGTTCAGTCCCCAGCATCTCAAAGGAAGGCTGGGAGAGAGTCCTGTCTGAAGATCTGGAAAGGCAATACTGAGCTAAATGGACCAATGACTCAGTATAAGGTAGCTTCCCATATTCCTATGAACTGGACCTTTAAGCAGGAAGATGAACAGCACAGCCTAAGAAGAGCTCATGGAAGACACAAGGAAACCATAGACCTAAGTGCTTGACTAGATTCATTTCTGCCCACAAGCTACATCCAATTTATACTGATTGACCAACTGCAGTGACCTTTTTAAAATTCATGGTTAACATTTGCACTTTTATATACGAGGACAAGGAAAGCACACTTGGCTGCTTCCAACAAATGCTTCTGCATTATTTGAATTTGAAAGAAGCACATTAGGTAAAATAAACGATTCATGGTTTGAGGGTTCCTATATATTAACAGAAAACATATTCTGTTTCAACTGAATATACACAATGGAGTGAGAATTTGCACTTGGTTTTGATTGCAAAGATACTTTTTAAGATTTCACAAGACTGCATATGCTTTCATGTGAGATTTGAAGTTGGCATGGTCAGTTTAGCTAGGAGTACAATTAAAAAAAAATACATGCAGCAGCATCCTATACAACAGTAGAATGCAACCTGAGGGGTTCAGCACACGATCCTGCCTTTCCTGGGGAGACCAAGTGGAATGGAAGTGTTGGACAGCACTTCCAGAAGGCAAGCTGCCCTCTACCCACCTTTCCCTCCGGAAGAAAAATAAGGTTCCCCACATCTGCTATTCATGATTACTTAGAAAATAAATCTGAGTTCAACAGGGCTTACACAGGGTTGCAGCCTTGGTATAGTTGTAACTGCAGTTTAAATCTTTATTTAAACTGTTCTCTTGTCAATCAATGACCAACCAGTCATTGAAACAGTAAAGTATTTTCTCATCAGCTGGGGTAAAAACCATCTTGCTAAAGCTAAGCAGGTCTGGGACTGGTCTGGGAAACTCAGCGTATGCTCCCTTGAGTGCTATGATGGAAAGAAAGGCTGGATATTAATGTAATAAATATGGTAAAAGCTAGCAACTTAATTTCAAAGGTGCCCAAGGCAACTTTTAACTACTGTAACTCTCCTATTGGTTTCTTTCCCTGATAATCTCCAAATAAATTCCATAAGGGCAACTTTGTTGGTCTTTTTTTCCTGAAAAATAATCTTCTGGTACCTCAAAGACTAACACACTCATTATGGCATAAGGAGGTGGATGTCAAAGATTTCTAAGGGTCCAGTGAAAAGCAATTGCTCAGTTTAGCAGTCATTGCCTTCCTTTCGTTACGACAGTTTTGGAAGATAATCAGCTTCCTGCTGCTGAAGGCAGGAATTTGAAAGTATGCTTTTTGTTCTGCATCAATCAAGATGGGGCATCATCATAAAGGAATATATGCACTAAGCAAAAATAGCGACCATTGAAACTCACCAACCATTAAGTCCATGGAGAGTTGGCCACAGTCCTCTTTCCACCTGGAGCCTCTCCTTCGCCAAATCCAAGGGATGCTGCCAGTTTTGTGCCTCAGCCGTCAACCTGTCTTTGCATCTCTCTCCTAGCCCACCTATGCAGAACATGGAAGAGTGAGGCCTTTGCATTTGTGCATTCAGTTTGGAAGCTCCCCACTGAAACTTGGCAAGACTGCCATTTTGACTGCTTAGAGTAGGCTGTGTTTATAGGAAGCTAAGTGCTTTGTTTATTCCTGTTCCAATACAGGGGAATACAGGTGGGGAGCATCAGGTCTTGGGACTCTCCCTCGGCTGTACCTTCTCTATTGCCCACTTTCCATGCCAGCCCTGCTCCACAACCTTCCCTGAGTGTTTCTGTGTGGCTGAAATGTGTTACTGAACAGTGATGATGCCTCTTGCTTGTCTGTATGGAAAATGTAACTGGGCTTACAGAAACTTGTGCTTGGCTGGAATATATAACCTACCATGGAATTATAGGAGTCATACCCATTGCCCTGTCCCCTTTCACCCCTGGCCCCACCCACCACAGGCCCCTGGTTGACCATGAGGAAATGTGGTTCTTGATTTAAGATCCAAGCCTTGTCTAGATGATGAGCAGGATACATGGAGGAGAGAGTTGTGTTCATGGTGACGGACCCTATTCCCAGCCTTTGTCCATTCAGCCAAATATACCTATGTGGAACCTATGAATATGCAACTTGTACAGACCACTGTGGTGTAGTACTGAGCATGTCAGATGAGGACTGAGGACACAAATGCAGGAGTGTCAACTTGGCCCTGTGACCGTGGGTGCCCTACAGCGTGTATGACACTGAAATTTGCAGGTGTCCAGTCCCTTCATGAAGAATTTTGTGGGTGCTTGGGCACCCAGGGCACCAGGAAGTTGGCACCTATGCCCTAATATCTTGCCCTGCCATTGCTGACCTTTTTCATTGGCTTCTGAGGAACCCCAGTGTTGTCTGGAATGGAGCCTGAAATTCACCGTTAATCCACTGTGACACTACATTGAGAGCAATGAGGAGAGATGAAAATGTTGGCTCCCTCTTTTGCTTGCTAGTCACCAAACTTTCCTTTCAGCGCTACTGCATATGCCCATACTACCACTGTCACCTGTCACCCTGTAAAGTCACCAGGCACTTTGTCCAGCCCCCAAATCTGGATCCGTCAGCAGCTGCCTTTCCTAAGAGAAGCCTCGCCCTCTGCCACCTCCCCACCCAGAATCATGAGCACCCTGAGAGTGTGATGGCAAGTGGCTTATGATTTCATTCCTGCCTTTGTCATTTGTATTTCTAATATTCTACTGTGTTTTTCTGGCCTCAGCTTGTAAAAGGGAGGTGGAATAGCCTTTATGGTTTCCCCACCTCTAAACTGTGAACTGTTAAAATAAAACAACATTAAAAAAACACTGTAAAATGAGCAAGCAGCCAGCTCTGCAAATAGGACCAAAAGAGGTATAACATAATCTTCCAGTATTTGCATATTAATCCAACACCTACAGATACATCTGATACACCATTATATGGTCATATAATCAAGTTCATGGCAAGCTGCTCCAGGGGATGGAAAATTTCTGCTCTGCATTGACCTCAGCTGTGGGTCTACGGAGAAACAGACTCCAGAAAACACATTTAATGTCTTTTATCCAGCACAGCCATTTCCCACTTTAGAAGGCTAGTGGCAACCAGATAATATATCATTGGTCAAGCACACATACTTTTTATACAAGTCTATATTAGATTCCCCCAAGGTTGTGCAATTTAAAAACATTGTGTTGCCAAAAATCTGCTCTGATGCAGATTTTAATTTATTTTAAACTTTATTTCAACAAAGTATGAAGGGACTTGGGACTTTTAATCTCCTGTCACACATATTGGCCCAGTGTTCAGGCAAAGATAATGACACAGAAAAATAAGAAGTAAATCACAAAAAGAAGTTTTTAAATGTCAGTTGCCGGCAAGTTCATGTCTATTCTGACTGCTGATGAAGTTAGCTGTAATAATAATTTTAAAAATTCTACAGGAAGCTGAGATGCAGTTTGAATTTTAATAACGTGCCTTCATCCTTTGTCCCCTGATTGATTGGTCTGTCTGCAATTCAAAACCACAACGTCCCTTTTTATCAATGGCTTGTCTGGCCAGCAAAGTGCAGGAACTGAACAACTCAATGGCCATTCACAGGCCAACAGTTGCAGAAAAAGCAGACCACTGCAGCAAGTTAATGGCAAATCAGGCAGAATATGCTATAAGTGCCAGTTTCGTGCTATGAATGATCAATGTTTAGTTTTCAGTCCTTGATTGCTTCTTCCCTGCAATTAAAAGGGAACATATCAATTCAGATTAAAATCTGAATTGTATGCAGAATGATAAGGCTAAGTGAAGGTGGCATAATCTGTTACAGAGAGTGGGGATTGTGTACTACTGGTCTTTCATAAGTGGGTAACACAAGGGGCATCACAATATCAGTTGTTGTTTTCAAAAAGAAATATTACGTCAGTGGTGGGAACTCTGTGACACCCCTGATATGTTCTTAGATTCCAGTTCCGAATCACTAGCCATACTGGAGTTGGAATCCAGCAACCTCTGGTGTCCCACAGATTCCCCACCCCTGAGAGAGAAATTGCTAGGATTTTGCAGAGCAAGCCAACACATTAAGAATTGAAATACATTTGTAGTATCTGGCATACCTTCCTATGCTGCGCTGCTTGTTTTCAGAAGTATCTGGATCGCTGCTGTTGGACTAAGATGAATTTGGTGTACTTTTACTGCAGTGGTCAAACACAATTATCACCCAAACATACAGAAAACAGCTTCTCTTTTCACAGTTTAATTTCCCTGCCAAATTCTCCTCTGACACCCCTGCCCCACAAATAATGCCTTTCCAATCCAGATCCTCAGAAATAATTTTCCCTTTCAGTATTAATTCTCCCCAATCAATAATTTACAAGATTCCCTCAAAAAGTAAGTTTCCCTTGATTATTTGACTGTTTTGATATGTTAGGAAAAAAAGAAAAAGAAATGTTAAAAGTACAGGGAATCCTTATAGCATTAGCCCGCTGTTTTTGAAAAATTTGTGCTCTCCATTCACTGTCCTTTGCTCTTACTGAGTTTTTTAAAAAATGAAAAGAATATGATTTAGGATCCCAATTTTGTAAACCACTTTGATGTTTTTGTCACAATTAAGTGGTATATAAATTTAAACAAACAAACAAAAACTTCCATACAGCAGCAACTGGAGGGTTTAGGAAACATTGTTGATATCCCACTTACCTAGAGTCCAGTCTGGCTGATTTCCTCTTCAGATGCACTTATACACTTCTTCTCTAATATCGCCAACCAAATATTGCCTAGCTGTCATATTCACAGTATAGCCTCTTCCAGGCTGGGTTGCCAGAGAGTACTCTTCATATGACTTTGGAATGCAAACAGAAATTGGCTACTCGCAGACTCTTGGGATTTGGAGCTAGGACTCTGAGTATTCCTTTACTCTGAGAACTCCAAATAAAAAAGGAACCCAGTATAAATTTTGAATATAAAAAGGTAAAGCCCTTATTTGAAAAACAACAACAAGAAGAGTTTTCCATTAATTGAAAAAGTAATACTTGACATACAATTCCTTCTTTAAAGGTAAAGGGACCCCTGACCATTAGGTCCAGTCGTGACCGACTCTGGGGTTGCGGCGCTCATCTCGCTTTATTGGCTGAGGGAGCCGGCGTACAGCTTCTGGGTCATGTGGCCAGCATGACTAAGTCACTTTCTGGCGAACCAGTTAAGGCCACAGCAGGATCGGGTACTTCCAAGTCCTTGTGTGTGGTAATGGGGCCAAGCTTGCTAAGAACTTCCACAAAATGAGCTTCTGTACAGGTATAGCCCAGTGGTCTTCCAACAGTGTTTCAGGGAATCCTGGTGTTCCTTGGAAGCTTATCAGGCAGTCTGAAGATCAGTAATGACAGACAGACAACTCACTTGTAACTCCTGATTTCCCCCCTGCAATGTGCAGCCATGAACAATGTTTGGCATAGGATACACTCTCAGATCACACTAGCTTATTCTCGTTCATTTAGATGAGGCTCATCAAGCAAGGCCAAATATATGCTCCATAACATCCCCCACAATCCTCTACAATCTACAGTGATATCCAGAGGGTTTTGAGTAGAGAGGTTCATATGAAAATATTCCTGGATAACTTGAAAAACACTAGTATAAGCACATAAATTTCTTTTTTTTAAATAACATTTAATTATCTTTTATTATTAATGCCCACCCCAAGACAATATTAAGCTATAACTTAACAAGTCTGCTGGGAGAAAGTTTCCTATTTTGAAATATATTAACATTACCCTGTAGTCTTAGTTAGTGGCAACATTCTGGAGGCCTCACAATGTTGAAACAAAGTGACTCACTATTTTCCCTAGCTCAGATTAAATATAGATGGTTGGAAATTTTAAAATTAAATTAATCTCATGGAGTGCCATAACCCTGACCTATGCGAGGCACTTAAGATCCTGCAGTTTCAGCACTGATTGAAGGACAGCGCAATGAGGTTCTCACCAGTGCTGGAGATCAATGTAGTGATGTGATGCTAGCCATGCTTAACTGAAGAGCAAAATAAAAACAAGGCCCTGTCTTCAACCATAGAAAGAACTGTAGCACATCAAGTGATGGGAGAGGACCAGAGGGCGGCAACATGACAGCGGGGTCTTTTCTGCAGTGGCTCCCTGCATGTAGAATACTCTGCCCAGAAGGGCTTATCTGGTGCCTTTGTTACATATCTTTTGGTGCCAGACAAAAACATTCCTCTTCTCCAGGCCTTTGGCCAATTAAACAACCTATGGTCTTTTAAACTGTATGTGTGCGGGGGGGGGGGTATTGTTTTGGTTTGTTATTATAGTATGCAATTTTGTGTTTTTATATTGTAAACAGCCCTATGATCATTGGAGAAAGGGTGGTATAGAAATTTAATTAATAATAATAATAATAGTTATTTCTTGTCATGGGTGGAGGAAAATGGTGGCTTCCTGGGTACGGGAATCAGTTTTAGGCAGTGATAGATTTGGGTAACCAATGAATAAAAAGTTTATTAGCTTCTGTTTTCTGGTCAGATGAGTAGGCTGCTGACATAGGATTGTAGCAAGGAGAATAAAGATTTCTGCCTCGAGTACCAGATACCCTAGACTAGTAAATGTAACACCGCTAGAACACTTGTGGGGGATACTACAGCCCCAAGCTGTATTAACATAAAGTTATCAAAAGCATCACGCCCTAAAGGTAGCAGATATCAGACGTCTGCGGTCTGGTTGATACTGCAACAACAACATAAAGGAAGAGTCCTCACTTTTAAGAAGAGTGAGGTGACAACATGCTGTCCTTACATTAACCCTGTTTCCTAGGGAAGTAAGTCCTCAAGTTTCACATGACTTGAGATTTGCTAAACGCAAATGTGCAACTATAGGCTTTTAAAGTTCATCAGTGAATGAGGGAAACGACATCTTGAATCAACTGTTTAAGCTGCTTGTTTATTTCTTTTGTACCTTTGAGACACATATTTGATAAAAGTGAACAAGTACACAAAGAATCAGTGAAACCAGCTAAACCTCAGTACCAACGTATTTGGTTCATGACAGAAGTTCATTCCATTGTTGATATTTGGGGCCAGCTCCAATACAACATTTTGCATTGTGTGGGAACATGTGGACTCTGGATGTTGATGAACTGCAGCTCCTATCATCCTTAACCTTTGGCCATGTTGGCTGGGACTGATGGGAGTTGGAATTTAGTAACACCTGCAGGGCCACAATTTCCCTATCCCCCATCTTTGGAATGGATTCATTGTCAATTCCAATGGGTGTCCATGAGAAACTGTTTTGGCAGAATACTTCCTTACCTGTCTTGCTGCTTGGTGCTGAGACTGGATTCCTGGGACTGATTTGGGAGTGAGCCAGATGCTATACGAGACAAAGAGCTGCTGCTCTCTCTATATTCTGCCTCTTTGCCTTGCAATGTTTAAACAAAGTGAGATGTAATGGCATTGTGACTGGTGTCTCCCCACTCCAGCCTCATATTATTGTGATGCGGGGATGGTGCTGTTGCATCACACATTTTTATGTGACATGTTGCAAGAAGAGATGGAGAAGAGACATGGAGTGGCAACACCACCATATCCTGTGTAGGATTCAGGTTTTGAGATTGTCAGTTATCATAATCGTATTACAAGAGCTGAGGGCAGGGAGGGAATTACGTTCCTGAATCCCACACTGTCATATTTTTAAAAAGAACTTCTTCCTATAGAGGAGATATGCAACTAATACCCAAAGTGAAGTGCCTAGTAGATTCTGAAACAAGGGTTCGGCGTGGGAGTTCGGAAACTTCATTTCCCAATTGAAAGGGAAGTATGTGCTCAGGAGGGAGCTTGCAACGTAGATGAGAATTGAATTCATCCCTGTAAATTCATAGGAAGAAACATAGTTTAGGATATACCATTATGAAGAAGAAGAGGAGGAGTTTGGATTTGATATCCTGCTTTATCACAACCTGAAGGAGTCTCAAAGCGGCTAACATTCTCCTTTCCCTTCCTCCCCCACAACAAACACTCTGTGAGTTGAGTGGGGCAGAGAGACTTCAAAGAAGTGCGACTAGCCCAAGGTCACCCAGCAGCTGCATGTGGAGGAGTGGAGACGCGAAACCGGTTCCCCAGATTACGAGTCTACCGCTCTTAACCATTACACCACAGTAGCTTGCATAACCTTTGTCTGACAATCTGTATATTAAAAATCTCTGCACTGCAATTCTGAAGGATAGCTAGTTATTTTGTCCATACATTTCCTTGTGGGGTGTGAATCATTATTGTAATTGGCCTTTTCGCCTTACCCAAAGTTTAAGGGTAAGGATGCTAGTGGTGATTCATTTTGCTATCTCCAACATGATCATGTGACAGAGCCACTTTATTCTTCCACTTCCATACCAGGTCAGGTGATATTTTGTTTTATGGGTCTTAAAATTTCTAAACCTGCCTTTTGACCTTATTGGGCCCTTTAGGCAGCTTACAAGAAGCAAAACCATTACAACCACAGTCAACAACAATTGCAAAAGGGAAAGATTTATTATTATTATTATTATTATTATTATTATTATTATTATTATTATTATTTTATTTTTTAAAAAAGTTTTAAATTGAAGCGTGGTCATTGTGACTGCCATCATTCACACTATATGAAGCAGCGGTGGATACGAACACTAACATGGGCTACACTTCAGATAAGCTGCACCTAATAGAGTAGGGCTTAAGCCCACTTCTGCAGTATTCTGATGTTGTGCACCTATAGAGGCAGAAAGGGGATGCTGCAGGGGATGCGGCAGTATGATTTAGAATGGAGTGTGAGAGGTGGGGGAGCACCAAACTTTGGCATCACACAGGGCACCACGGAAATCTGAGACGGACATTAAATTCCGGTGTTGACAAGTCCTTAGGATCTAGATTCTAGAGACGCTACTTGACAGAGGGCTGCAACCTGAAAGGTGGCAACTCTGACCATTCACATTAACGATGTTTTATAAAAGGATGCATGGCATTGCCTCCAAAGGGAAGATGGAAATAAAACAGGGACACTGTTTCACAAAGGACTGCTGTCAGGGGCAACTGCAGCCTACACTCTAATGAGGGTATGTGCAGTGAGAAATTGACTGGGAGAACCTGAATCTAACTTGCATTGTCCAACATGAGATCAGCAATGTATAGCTAAGCAGCATTAGAGGGACTGCTGAGAGCAAAAGTCTAGCTGCTTAGAGACTTGAGTTATGACCTATGATAGACATAAGCCATTTGGCATAACAGCTTCATAAATTACTAGTCTGTATTCCTGAACAAACACATAATTAAGTAGAGATTGCCAAGTGGCTCCAGAGGAAGTCTTAAGACTGAGCAAAATACAGAATGATTTATCCTTGGCTTCCACCAGGTACAGTCACTGCACTCTCAAAGTAGCATCACTTGTTAATGTCAATAAGCACTTAAATGAATCACAGAGCAGCCTTTTCATGTGTTTTGGAATTGACACTGTGCAATTCTCAGGCAAGGGTTTGCGGGGTGTCTATGTGTACCACCACCAAGCTTCATTAGTATTAATTCTTTCATTAGTCATTTTTCTGCCCTTCTACAAAAAGCAGGCAAAGCAACTTTCAACAAGCTATTAAAATCTAATAGTTAAGAACAAAAGCGAACCCACAACCACATAAAAACAATCTATAAAATAGATTCTCAATAAAACGTTAAAATGCACAACAGCCACAATCAAAACAGAGACTACACTGCTGGGTCAAAAGCCAAAGCAACATCAGTAGCCAGGAAAGGCTCTGGAAAATAAGAGAAATAAAAAAGAAAAATATTTCACTTGCTGTCAAAAGCAGAGGAGGGTTTTGTCCTTTTGGTTACTCTAACTGAAAAAGGTTCCTCAATAGTCCTGTGCTGATGTTTGATCTGTGCAGACCTGTATATATGCAAGGGAGTTGGGACTTGCCAAAACTCATAAGCTCCTTGTGTGCAGATCTGTAACCTCCATTTTTACAAAGCACAGATTGCATGTCAGCAGTGTATGTGGACAGGTCCCTGTAGGGACAGACTCTTCCATGCATGGAGGCTATGGACAATCATGGGGCAGGACCAGCGGGTGTGACCCTGACCCCCTACACCATATCATTTTCAATGTAGATTGAATGTCTGCACAGGGCTACTGTTAGAAACTTACCTTGGTGTCACTGCCCCAATCAAATGTTATAATAGGCCACAGCTGCAATAACTTACCTGGAAAAATGAAAGGTTGACCTCCCCACCAATTTTTCACATCGATAACATAGAACATGATTCCCAGCAGGACAAATGAGAAGCAGCTCAGGGTGGTGACAAAGGACAAAGACCTAGCAAACACAGAAAACAACCAGAAAGGCAGAACTTCACTGTGTGGGGCTATACTGGAGTATGAAACCCACCTAGCCATGTGCTATGGAACAGAGAAGACACAGGAAAAGGGATTTTCATGGTCCCATTTGAATTGCTCTTAATTTTATCTGTGTTATAGACTACTTTGGTTGAAAGGCAGCCTAGAAATTCATTCAGTTAGTCAATTAATGAAATAAAATTGCTCCCTTTCTCTAGCCATGGGCTAATGAGCCCGCTCTCATATAAATGGGAGAGAAATCCAAGAGCAACTGTGAGAGATAACACCATTGTTAGCAGGTCTATCTTAACCAGTCTTGTAGCTTTAACCACAAAATATTGAGGGACACTGAGTGTGGAATTCAATGTTGTGTTAATACAATTCTTCTATCAGTGCAAGCATTTTTGCTTGCCAGATGTAATGGTCTCACCAGCCCAATGTGCTGTTCTAGGGACTCTCCCAATCTCCCTGAGCTGATTTAGAGTGGGTGAGCAGTGGAGTGAAAGCCCTGTTGCACTAGCGGGACTTGTAGCACTGGCTCCCCCTAGTGCAGCTATTTTGTTGAATCTGCCCCAAACAATTTGTAACGCTCCTGCGCTGGAATACGTCAACACATGCAAAGAATGCATGAAGGGCCATCATCACTCCCTGAGACAGATGCAACTAGGTAGCCATGCCTGATTCTTAGTGGGTCTTACTCCCAACTAAGCATACATGGACTATGTTTGTTAGTCACTAGGCTACATCACTTTAACAAGAACAGTCCTTTGCCATTATCTACTCCAGGATATCTTCAGAAACTGAAAACTCTCATTCATCACATTAAATTTTTTTTATAGTTAGGTCATGTCATGTCAATTTCTGTACAAGTTTCATTAAATCTCTTAATTTTGTTGCCACTGTAGTAAACAAAAACAGCAAGTGTATGTAGCAGTTTCACTTCAGTAAAGCTATACGTTTACTTGCGGCAGCATATTTTTCCTCTTGGCTCAGAAGTCCATTGTCCTACGTGATATTTTTTTCCATGCCCTTCCTTAGACCCAGCCAGCTAGGCTGTTCATTTGCATACTGCAAGGGCTGTAAGTAGCTATTGATTTTTCACTTTCCCTTTAAAACCGTCAAGTGCTTCATCCAAGTGTTTCATCCTCTCTGATAAGCACCATAAAAAGGGCTGGAGATAATGGCCAGACTCATTTGAACCCCTATAGGTGTTCAAAACTAGTTAACTCTCCATTAGGAGTCACTGCATATTCTCAGGCTTTCTAGAAAACATGAAAGACGGGCACTGTGTCTTTGGTACAATTCCCTTGTGCTTATTTAAAAGGAAAAGGGGAGGGGGAACCAAGGCATTTGAGAGCTACAGTATCAAGTCACACTACAGCATTGGTTTTTAAGATAAATATTATTATATGGATTTTCATGAGAGGATCGTCACTGTACCATAAATTTTCAGTCTAACCCACTAGAAAAGAGAATGCTCTGATTCTACCATCTGAGGTCTAGGCCAGTTTCCTGAATTGCTGGCAGCAGAATGGTACTTGCCGCCAGCCTGTGTTTCCTGGTAATGAGTGCAATGTCTGCCTACATTGTCAGGGTGGATAGTGTGAATATATAGCACATTTGGGATCCTATCATAGCTGTCAACTTTTCTCTTTTTTAAAGGGAAATTCCCTTATTCCGAATAGGATTCCTCGCAAGAAAAGGGAAAAGTTGGCAGCTATGGATCCTAGCCCCACCTTCCCCAGTGAGAACCAGCTCTAACCACGTATTATTACCAGCTGAATGGATGCCACTACCAGATGGCTATCAGTAAATATGAAAACAGTAGTTGATGGCAGAATTGCATGTTAACAAATGCCTGACACCTGCTTTTCCCTTTGGGAGGGGGCTCTGTAGTGGAGAAGTGGCAGATAGGGAGAAGGTTAAACAGACTCCCATGTACCACTGGTGTTGCTCTAAATACCCCCTTGAAATGGAACAGCAGCTGTCAGGCTTACAGGGAGCTGCCTTTATACTGTACCAAGTGAGGCTGGAAGGGACCACCAGGGTCATCTAGTCCACCCCCTGCAATTCAGGAATTTTTTGCCCAATGCAGGGCTCAAACCCACAACCTTGGGTCAGACAAGATTTATTGCTGCTACTCCTCTGCCTTGCAAGAGGACCCGGATTAGAATCTACTCTTTCCTAGCCATGGAGTCTGCATCATTAAGTAAAGTTTGTTCCTTTACTTTCTCATAAATGCCTCTGTTTTGGACATGAGCAAGGACAGGCAGTAGCTTTCCACGGATGCAGATAGAGGCCCTTCCTGCAGTGATGCCAGGAGTTCAACTTGGGACCTGTTACATGCATTTGCAATGTGTGGTTAGACCACTCAGAGGGGTGGCTCATACATGCATGCTCATCAGCTGTTGCCTGTAGCAGCAAATGAAGCCTTGCATGTGGGAATGAGCCAATGCAGATCAACCGCTGAAGCAATGCTTTCCAATGGAGCCAATCTTCAAGCAGTGAGTCATTGGTCAATGACAGGAGATCAGCTGATGAGCATCAGCATTTGTGATACAGCCCACATCACACCAGGGGATAACGTAAACCCAACGAAGGCAGGGGCAATACAATAGAAGCATCTTAATAGGGCAAACCAAGTGGTGTCTGGTATCTCACATCTTTCATCTTATTCTTGGCATGATGCAAACTATGAGCAAATTTTGCCGTGACTTGCATCAATCAAACTTATAAGGTAGACTTGAAAGCACTTACCAGAGATTTTTATTGATGGGGATGAATCCTTCATTTTGTGTACATTTGGTTAGGATGGCAGAGATAATCCCCTTAATAAGAAGGAAAAGAGAACAGGTCAATAGCAAGTGATAACATATCTAACTCAGGGAAAACAGAAAAGAGAGGGGAGGAGAGGCAAAGGAAGAGGAAGGAACAGATTGTGTGCCAAGTTCTAAGTGTTTCCATTGATTAACTAATCAAAAGATGCATTGCAGAGCAAAGAGAGAGGCCCTGAACTGAATAGAAGACCTTGATTTGAAAGTGTGATTGTTTTTATTTTATTGTATGAGGTTTCCTAAAACAAAGCCCTTTCCAGAAATTGGATCAGCCTGAGTCAAAGAACCTCAAGGATGCCAGAGAGGTTGAGCCCAATAGTAACATTATTTTGTATAGTTTGGTGGGAGAGATTGGTCAAGGGTACTGACAAATGACAGCTTGACAGAAGACAATCTTAATATTTTTAAGCATCATGTTGGATGAGGCTGTTGTGTTCCGACATCATGCCTGCACTAAGTTCTTAGCATAAAACTTTGCTATAGTGGCCAGCAACTGCTGGACCCTGGGACAAATCTGCCTTCAGAAATAGATGCCAAGGCCTGGTTCACATGAATCCCTCACTGCAAGCTACTTAAATGAGCTGCCAGCCAGCATTACTTGCTCTTTCTTGGACCTTATTATTGAAGACACATTCTAGAATTAAGCTATGGCTCAAATGAAGCCCTTTACTGGCCTGTTCATGAGAAATGGAGACCTGGACGTCTTTATCCCAAAGGCTCCCTATAGTCCTATATCCTGAACAAGATGGTAAGGAAGCAAGCTAAGTCTCCACTGCAGTAGCTTTGCTGTCTCTAAGCCTTGGGAGCATTTTGCCTGGTTGTCGTCTTTTTCGACACCAAGCTGTTGGTGTTTGCACCACAACGAACAGCAAGGCCAGAAAGCTGCCTTCGGTATTTTTTCAAATAAATCCTGGCAGACAAAACTCAAATAAATCTATTGCTGAAGGAAATTGCTAATGCCACACTCTGTCACATACCCTCTGTGCGGTGTTAAAAACGCTAAATTAATTAAATAAATCAATTGATGAAATCACCCTATAAATGTGACAGTGTGTCATAATTCAAAGCGGCCGTAGGAGCAGCGAGTCAGATCCAGGGTGCAGGGAGAAAAAGAAATGATTTGCTGCTGTGGTTTGGTTTGGTTTGGTTTGGTTTGGTTTGGTTTGGTTCGCTTTGCTTTGCTTTGCTTTGAAGTGAGAGGGAATTTAACATGTGGAAGTACCCATTTTGTGGTGCCTCCCTGTCCCTCATACCAAGGAGGGGACATTACTCCTTTCTTTTTTAAATTTTTTTTAAAAAGCAGCAGAGAGAGAAGTACAGAATTTTATACTATACCGGTCAAGTTCCCCTCCACCCCCTGTACTGGAATTGAACATTTAAGCTGAGACTGCAGTGATACCACCAGAGAAGTCTTATACAATATGAGACCCACTAACCAAACTTTGCCCATCAGCCATGTGCAGCATTGTGGCCTAACAGCTGCGTCTCTTTGAATCATATACTTTACTACAGGAACCTGGGACCCTCCATATGCTACAGCAGACCCAACCAGTATAATATAATATAAGAATTTGAGTCCAGCAATATCTGGATGACCATAAGTTCCCATTCCTGCTTTAATCCTGCACGCATGGACACAGACTCAGTAACTAGGCAGAAACATGAAATTTTCTTTTGTTAACCCTGGGTGTCAATAAATGACTCATCTAGCAGGTGTTTCTGTTAGTATTTGTATTATATTTGCTTTGTAAATGTGTTTCACAAAGAATAAATGGTATTGGGGAAAGGAGGTGGCAGTTGGCAGTTGGCAGTTGGCTGGTTGTTCTGTTAGCTGATTCTTTGACTGAGAGTGTGGAAGCGTGGTGACTTCAAGCAGACCCTGTCTGGGGGAATTTGTGAGATTTAAGCAAGCTATGGATTAATAACTTACGCACTGTTTTGAAGGAGTTTTGAAAACAAAGAAAGACTAAACCCTCTGTTGGGCTCAAGAGAGAAAAGCACATTGTATTTGTGTGAATAATACTTGTTGTTCAACTGTTGCCAACCTGACATGTAAAGATTTATCTTCAAGTCTTGGGTAAGGCATCTATTTTATCACAAATAGCTAACCGTTTCCCTATTGCATATTAGTATTATACTAACAGCTTAATGGATATAGTTCCAAACGTTTAATCTGTAGTGTGTGGGAAATTCAGGACTTTTACAAGCTGTATCAACTGCCTTAAAGTGTAATGGATTTGTGGTTAAATCAGCTTTGAGGTGGTTTAACGAATGCTTCAGGTTTCACATTGTAACACAAGAATGGAGATGCTTTGAAATCAAACATCAGGGCAGTGGGAGGCAGGAGGAGATGGAAATAAAGAGAGATTTTCTATGTAATTAGAAAATGATCATACACAACTGTTTTTGATAGTTTCCCCACCAGCCAATAATGAGCAGCTGAAAAAGCCAATGGCAAAATAGTCTACTTTCATGCATGGTTATAATCAGAAATGAAAATTAGTTCCTTTACAGAGCAGTCCTAACCCACTCTTTCTTCTACTCTGGCTGGCATAAATGACCAGACTTCAGACGTGGCAATGGCTCTGATGCTCTGTTCAGTCCCACTGCTCTCTGCTGGGAGTTAGGGTTGGCCCACTACTTTTTATGGACTTTCCAAACAAAGGCCTGGTGCAGATATAATATTGTTATCCCTTGACCACGGGTTAAGAATTTGAATGTGCTCTGCAGGCTCACACACTGCTTTCCTCCTCTTTTCCTTTTGCATGTGTGAACTCCCCTGTCTTTTCTCTTTGCAGAGAAAAATCTCTTGGTGATGAACTGTGCCAGCACCAATGCGAAAGACAATCACTACTAGCTTCAAAACAGACATTGCAATGAGAGCCAGAAGCTTGCTTGCAGACCCTGATTAAAGGTAGCAAGTTTTGTGTTAATATTGGTAATTCAAAGAAAGGGAAAGGGAGAGGAGATTTCACATATGATTTTGCCTGTGCTTATTTTCTGAATGCCTGATTCTTGTTGAAGGCACAGTGGTCAGTAAATGGAGGTGGCGAGGCAGCCCTATTTGCAGGGAAATTGCATTTTACTAGCACTCAAATATCACATGTGTGCTACCACTGAGCTACTGTCCTTGAAAATCTTTTGTGGGTTGTTCCTGTAATAAAAGGTTGGGAAGAATCTCAGGATTAGATATATTACTGTGGTGTGTTCAAATGTACACAAGCCCACCTCAAACTCACTTAAAATTTAGTTAAAGATCACCAAAATCTATATTTGTTCAGTTTCTGTGCTTTAAAATCAGCAAAACAGAGCACTGCAATTTAGGTGGAAAGATGAGTGAGAAAATGGCATGTTACTAGCATGAAAAGAAAAGCAGTGTGTGTGTGTGTGTGTGTGTGTGTGTGTGTGTGTGTAGAATGAGTTAGAAATGTACTTATGTTGCAAATTTGGGTGTGGGCTCCAAACATGATTGGATCCTGAAATATGTTTGAAATTCAAAAAGTTTGGGTGGGGAGGAATTGGCGTTCCCAGATTATACCCCTCTCTGGTCTAGTTTACAAGGTCTTGCAGAAACTGCACAAATATGCAATGGCAAATTTCACTTCCCATCCCTCCTGCAGAGAAAAGTAGATTAAAAAATGCTGAAACATGATTTTATTTATATATTTATTGCAGAGCTGCTTTTCAACCTATGTGGTCCTTGAAAAGGCTTACAATGAGGAAAACAGAAAAGAGCCAAAAAAAACCATGCATAATAAAAGCCCTCATGCTGCAGTTAAAAGCGCAAAATTTAAGGTGTAAATACACAACCACATGTGTTGATCAGTGTTTACTGCAGCAATCATTGCTGGTGTCCAAGAAATAAAGAAAAATCATGGGTGCAACAAATAACACATGCAAAACTGACTAATGTGCATTGAAGCACACGTTATCCAGTTTCACAAATGTTATTCACTGGTCAAAAAGTGGTTTAGCTGGGACATGCAATCCTGTACTGCACATTGGCTGTCTTTAAAAAAGGGCAATATATTGAACTATCTCACAGTACTTTGAAGACTACATTGCAGTGGTCCCACTTAAATCACAGCTCCTCCATATGCCTGACCTTGAGAGATCCTCTGTTTAGTTGATAATATTAGCTTATGGTATATTCAGGAATGGGAATAACAGGATAATGTGAGAAAAAAGAACCTGCCAATACCCCCAGTAAATATTTTGTGTGTGTCACCAATGCCAAAGGGCATGGAGTGTGTGTGTGGTTCCCTGGCACAGGTGCAGCCAACATAGCCCCCTCCAAGGTTTTGGACTACAATTCCCATCATCCCTGACCATTGGCCATTATGACTGGGGCTGATGGGAGGGCACCACATTGGTTTTTCCTGCTTGAAAAGCTCCAACACACCAAAGAGGACACATTCCAGCCAGGCAAAAGCACTTAAGGAGAGTGCAGAGCAGATCCAGGGAGATGAGTGGTCTGATGAAGCAAGACTGGCCTGGAGAGAAGGCAGAATGGCCATGTGCACTACTGAACAGAGGAGAGTCCACTGTTTGAAGGTTGTCCAGTCCAAGTGTAGTTTAAAAATAAAGAATGATAAGAAGGGAGAGGAGGAGTTGGCCTGCACTGTAAGCAGCTCACCTGCCCACAGTTTTGTTCCCCACCCTGGCAAGATTTACTATATTCCTGTTTAAATGGCAGTATTATTTCTACATCTGCATCTATATGTAAATTAGCATATGCAAATCTTATGCAAATGATAAGTCCCTGTTCTCTTTGGTCCTCTCTTTTTTGATGATGCATGTTCTCGGGGGGGGGGGGCATGTTCAACTGGCCAACCTAGGAGAGAAGGAGCAGTCCTGGAGATAGTCCTCAGGGCAGGATAGAGAGGCAAAGAGAAATTATGGGATGGAGGCTCCCCATCCTTGCCTTACATTCATCCTTTAAGTCTGCAATTGTTATATAGCACTAGCATAAGGAAATGTTTCTTCCTGCCTTGAGCCTTAGAAAAATGACAAGCTTCTTTTAATGCCTTTTTAAAAATGGGCTTATTTCACATAGGCTTGTACTGACAAGTGATGGCAACATTTCTTAACGTTACATGCAGCTATCCATCACTGCAGCGTGCACACACCAAACCACAATAGGATCATATTTACAGCAAAAGTCACAGCTGTCCCTCACAAAATGAAATTAGGTTTGATTTTGTGTCATGGCAATGTTCATTAGTGCCATCTAGTCTGCAAGGGCAAGATCAGATAGCTGATGGCGGACCCATAATTCATTGCAAAGGCACAATCTGACTGGCTGTGTGAGGAAGAGACAATACTAGCTCTGACCTCTTTGCAAATAAAGTGTTACCCAGCACACATGAAGCTGAATTTCACTTAGGTGCTCTATAAAACCAGAGGCACCATTTCATATTTTGTTAAGGGGAGCAAAAATTTCAAGAACTGCATTTGGATACATGCACAATTAAATTGTGAAACTCTGCCTATTTTAAGAGTATTGGTTATGGTTAATTTTTTATTTAAAAAACCCTCAAGAGCAATTTCAGCCATGTTTCCAACACTGACCAAATAGTTTATCCTGTTTTGCTAAGCAAAGGGATCTGCGTGTTTATAACAATAGCCATTTGATGTGTGGAACCACTAATGAGTTGGGTGGAAATATAGGTGACTCTAAAGGATAATCACATGTGACTTGAAACAAAGGGCAGTAATCCCCCTCGCTAAATGGAGTTCCCTCTGTGGAACTGTGTTACTAGTGGAATTAAACATTCACTTTGGTCTCCTAAATGCTGAGTAACAGGAATATCACAAAATAGGTGCCCAAGCTGAAAGGTTTGGCAAGGCTAACTGCACCACTGCTAACGTAAGTGACACCCAGAAAGAATCAGACCTGTTAAAAAAGCCATGCTAGATTGTGCTGTGTATGAACACTAGACATACTGCACATGCAAAGACAGATTCAAGGTGACATGAGTCATGTGCGCTGCCTTTGTCAAGCCTTTGAGATTGACAAGAACACTTGTCAATTGACAAGAACACTTGCCCCCAAGAACAAAGGGCAAGAACAAAGAGGAGGAGATGTAAATAAGAAGAGCGCTTCAGAGTTGGCCATTAAGAGTTAAATCTTGCATGGATATGGCCCATCTTCAATTTCTATCATTCCCTTCACCGGGCATAAGAAATAATACTGACATGAAATTTTAGTTCATGAACAAGGCAATGCCATGTTCAGCTATGATGGCCAGCTTTCATTTTCAAGAATACTGCCCCCCTTAGGAGTTTTAGGTTAAGCCAGGAAAGGTAGAGCCATAGCTGAAAATGGAGTCTATTGCGATACAGCAGCTCATGGGCAGAGGGAAGGTGTGGAACCTGTCGGGTGAGGAGCAGAGTCAGGGAGAATCTTATGACTTTTTAGATCTTGATACTGACTACCTAACAAAACAGAGGGTTACTGGTGAGTAAAATGCTGCCTGCTGGTAACCCAATGCTCAACCTAATTATACTTTATTTTCTGCAAACCAAAACACTTTCCAGTGTTGCAAAGATCAAGGCTAACAAGGACTGTAGGTGGAATCCAATGTAAAGCTAAGGAAACCGTTTTGCCAGTGCAAAGATTTTCATGGCACATGCTCTAAATCTGTTCTAGGGGTTCCCCCAATCACCTGGAGCAGATTTGGGGAGGGTGTGGGAGTGTGCTTGGGTGTGGGAGAGAAGGAAAAGGCCCATTACAGAAGTGGAAACCCTTGTGCTGATGTTAGGATTGTGTCCCAACCTGTGTTAGGGTTGTGCCCCTTTGTTATGGCTGGAATGCAGGCCATATCTACCTACAAGGTAAAAAGCAAGTTCAAATGGTAGCTAGTGGAAAGGAAGTTTTAGATTTGGAGACAAACAGGCAAGAAGCAGTTTGAACATATTCCTGCGGCTTATGGAACTGATGCTGCTTCAAGATGAATAACATCTATGTGTGCAACTGCTTTCCTTCTTTCTCCTGCACAACTTGTCTGTTGTAAATGGATTATTACAGAAAGGCCTTACATTTCAGCTCATAGGAATTCGACCCCATTAAGGACTGCATGGAAGATCCAACCATGTAACTAGAGGAACTGTGAAACAACATATGAACCAATGAAGCAAACCTGTTTCCAAACACTGGTACTCATCTTTAGAAATCAAGGCCCCCTGCTGAGCAAGGTCCAAGAGCAGATCCTCAAGGAGGCAGCTTTACAAAAGCCACTGCTAACTGCCTCTGACAAGCTGCAGTCTGGGTTTCCTGCATGGTGTGTGGAGCCTGGATCAATGGCTTGGAAATATTTCTGCTTGCTGCAGTCAATTGTGCCTTCCAGGCTTGTTATACCATGGCTGAGCAAACACATAATTTCCAACTTGTCACCTACAATGGTCTCTTTCTATTCCCTACCATTTTGTGCTGACAGCCAGAGAGAGAGAGAGAGAGAGAGAGAGAGAGAGAGAGAGAGAGAGAGAGAGAATGGCAGAAAGCAAGGAGACCCATTCTGCACAGATTAAGACATAGTTTTTCAAAGAAAAATAACCCAGTTGACCCACCATTTCCAATTAAAAGGCTTTCTTGTGAGATGGTTTGAAAAGACAATTGCCTGTGACCCACAAGAACCTGTTCTAGTCACAGATGCCAACACTGGACAAAATGGACCCAATGGCTGGACTCAGTTTTGTAATTTAATATAACCATATATTGAACTCATCAAAATGATCGCAGAGGCAAATTCACTACAGTTCATGGTAGCAGATAATTTTATCTGCTATTTCAATTACCTTTAATGGTCCCCAACAGGACCGGTCTAAGAGGTTTTGCTGTGAAGTGAAATGTCAAGATGTCCCTCAATTCCATGTTCAGAAGCCAAATGAACTAGCAGTTGAAGCTTACTTCGCTATTGGCGATTGGACAGCTACAAAGCACCAGGCAGCCCATGTGGCACACACAGTTCTGTCCTCCATAATGTCAATGCTGCCCCCTGCCCCGCACCACCTGCCCCCCGAGAAATCCACCTTGTTCTAATCTACCTAATGGTAGGGCCAGCCTTGGCACCTATGCAGTCAGGGTAGTTAAATTTTCCTCTTGCTGTGCAAGAGCTGCTCATCAATAAATTGTTCCCACATGGCTGGGAGAATATCTAAAGGGCATCTATAGTCAACTGCAATTTAACAGCAGCTACACACTTTATGTAGTAACATTGTGTGAAGAGGGAGTTTGCAGGATGGCATTTGTTTAATTGATAGTCCACTCTTCCTCTGAGGAGCTTGGAGCAGATTACAGCCGGTTCCCAAGTATTCTCCCATCAAAGCAGTTTACAAAGCCAGGCCTGATTAGCTTAAGGCGGCCTATCAGCCTTCAGACCATTCACCAGGTCAAGTTCTGGTAGCCCAGGAGCAGTAATAAGCAATTCAAACCACATAACAACTACCACATGTGAAATATTCAACCCACTACTACAAATAATTGAAATACTTTTGGTGAACAATGCGGGGGGGGGGGCAGAATCCAAAAGGTATAGAAGGAGAAACTATTTTACTTCTTGATCAGCTTTTCCAGCATGTCTGATCCAAGTGCATTTCAGCACACTTGTTAGCTCATTTGCTGTCACTATTAATCAGGCATTTGCCTTTTATGTTGAAGCAAACAAGACTGCATTGAGAACTATGCTAACTGATTAATTTTTTGTAAATGAACATTCCATTGATTTTCTTAATTTGATGCATCAATCATCCAAGTCCTCATTCAAGTAAGTGACCAGGGAGGTACTCTTCCCACCTCGGAGTCAAGATAGGGGATCTTTGAGATTGGCATAATCAGTCTTGACAGACTTGAACCATCATCTTGTTCAGATGATCTGCAAGATCTGCCATTCAAAAAAGTGGGGGGTGGCAAAGATCTTTATCACTGTGCTTTGGGAAATGGAGAAATGCTTGCTGAATGGGCAGGATGTAATCGAAGGATGAATGCTGGTGGTTCTGTCTCAGTGTTCACTACATGGTGAATGTGGCTTATTAGGATTTTCAGAGATATTTAAGGTCAAGTCACAAAACTATCAGTCCAGGGAAGCCTGAAGGGAATCAAATCTGTGTTATAGATGGCAACATGCTGAATCAGTCATTTGATATAAACTTGTTGCATCTGAGCATGGAAACACAATTAGTGCCGCATGGTTTTCAACAGCAGTCAACCAGATGTCTTTGGCAGCTCATACAGAGGGCATGAAGCAATGTTCTTCTCTGCATCAGTGACTAGAAGGTGACTAGCTGTTGGAGGCATTAAAGGTCCTTTAAGTCCATATTTGATAGCACAGGTCTCTGGGAAATCATGTTGCAGCATTCTGCACTAACTGCAGATTCCAGAACAAGTGTGAGTGAAGTCCCACATAAAGTGCATTGTACTGTAGTAATCCAAACTTGAATTAACCAATGCATGATCTACAGCAGCCAAACAAATGGTCATGGTTGTTGTAACCATTGCAATTGGTAAAAGGTGCTTCTAGTCACAGAAGCTACCTGGGCTTCCAGTGACAAAGATGAATTTAGAAGCACCTCTAGGCTGCAAATTTGCTCCTTCAGAGAGGGTGCAACCCCATCCAGGGTAGGCAGGTGACCCATTTCTTGGACATGGGAACCAATTTTGTGAATGGTTTTATTAACCGAAAGATTTAAGTTGTGTGTTCATTATAGTAATCCATGCATTGGTGACCTCAAGGCTAGATTACTGCAATGTGCTCTGTGTGGGTTCTGCCCTTGAACCTTGGGAGCTCCAGCTGGTGCAGAATGCAGCAGTCAGACTGCTGGTGGTGGTGAAGGGGCTTCTGGCTGAGAACATGTGACTCCATTGTTACAAACATCTGCACCCAACTACTACTGAGCCAGGTTCAAAGTGCCTGTATTAATTTACAAAGCCCTGAACAACTTAGTTCCAGCATACCACTGGGACCACCTGATCCCAGCTCAATCACTGCAGGAGCATTGTTGGCAAGGCTCATCTGACAGCAACAAGAATCAGAGCCGTTAATGTCATCGGCACAATATGATCTCTGCCAACAGAGATTCAGCACATCTTTGGTTTCAACTTGCCTGCTAACCACCACCACCCCGCCAGACTTATGCAGGCAATTAAGAATATGTTTTCCCATAATAGTTGATTTCTGATTTTAACACTTCAATATGAGTTTTATTGCATAATGTTACATATAATTGTTACAAACCACTCAGATTTTTTTTTACAATGAAAAGTGGTGTATAAATATTTTTTATAAATATACTGTATAAATGTTTGTTGCTTTAAAATGCAAGGGAGAAGACTGAACTCCAAATGAGTTTTAGCTGAAATAAGCTGACAACGGAAAATTACCCAAATTATTAAGAGCTGACATCTATGGTATTATTTTACTATCACAGATGTTCAGGAAGAATTGAGAAATTGTCCAGTAAATGCAAAGCCTAGCAGGAAATTTGGTGCACGAAGGAGATGATTCAAAGCTGTGGTTTTTGGACAGAACATGGAACATTTTATTTTGAGTTACCAGATGGAGGAAGGGGAGTTAACAGGCACAGTAAGGCATGAAAACAGGAGATGCTAGCTAGTTTCAGAGCATCAGACTCCAGGAGGCATTCATGAAAGGAGGACTTACATAACTTCATAAATAGGAATTATCCAGTCATGAAGTTTTAAAGCTTGGCATCATAGAGGCTGGGTCTAAATCAGTTTTGAAACCCACAGACATGAAATATACAGTATATTGTTCTGAGTGTTTTGTCAGTTTTTCTTGCTAAATAATGAAATGTCTTAATCTACACTTGTGTTCCAGTTGATATATCTGCTATTCCTCACACCTACAGACTGGTTGTTTGGGAGATGTAGCCCATCGGCAGCTCTTGAATTATCAGTAATTTTAACCCCTAACACTTGGACGGATATCATCAGATGACTTTACTGTGACCATTTAGATTAGGTAAAAATCTAAGTGAAAGCAAACACACACACACACACACACACACACAGAGAGAGAGAGAGAGAGAGAGAGAGAGAGAGAGAGAGAGTTCCTAAAGCATCCTTCATTGTTAAAAACATAGTATCAAAAGTGGATCACTAGCTTGTTGCAAGAGGTATTGGCTGTCGCAGAGGCTTTCCTGTGTTTCACGGTCAATGATGTTAAACATTTGGCATGCCTACAACTCCTGAGAGGAACACATAGAAACCTGTCTGCGTCTTGGCAAACCATGCCTTTGGACCTGAAGCAGGCCTCAAAAATTATGTGCATAAGTTAGAAGGTGAATGGAAGGGAAAGGACATGAAGGAGAGATTTTCAGCATTCTAGCTAAGTGCTTTAATGAAATATGGTGAGAACTGATATAATTTTTTTTTTAAATAAAATGTCGCAATGGGCCCCAAGCCAGGCGAAAACAAAAATAGAAAGGGAAGGAACAGGAGGAGTACTGTGTGTTCTCTACCCTTCCTGGGTTAATACCTCAGACTGGCCTTTGAATTCAGACAACAGAGTTTTCCTTTCCTCAATAAAGTGACTTAATACATTAACTTATAAAACTGTTATATGGAAAAGGACAATATTCTTATGAGTTTGGGAGTGCCAGACCCCTTTAAATTCCTGGATCCCGTAAGTGTTAGAATTTAATCAAGTCCTGGTAGGTTAGACTGGGTCCAAGACACCTAATTTCTGAACCCAGCAAGTGTTAAAAGCTAATCATACCAGTCTAGCTTCCTATGTTCAGGTGATCACCATTAAGAGAATAAAAGAAAGGTGATGGGGCACTGTGAAAGCAAAGGAGAGGGAGCTCTGTGCCAGACAGCAAATGGGTAGGGCCCCCTCCCTCAACTCATGGATAGTGAGTTCAGAGTTGAAAGTGTGTGTGAGGAAAAAAGCAGCAAGCTGGAGAGACGGTCAGAGGTCTGTTTGAATCCAAAGCTGTGACTATGGGAGAAGAAAGACCCTTTGGGGGCGTTAATGCTGTGAACCCCTCCATCATAGGCTCAGGTTGTATATATAGGCAGTGACTGATTTACATGTGTCCAACTGACATGTGGCCGTGCACGCACACATCATGGCAATCCGACTGTGGCTAGAAAAGGGGCAAAATGTAGTGTAGCAGTCTTACATGCACTTTGCCATCCGCATGCATTGACCCAGAATACAACACCCACACACACTGGGGGTTGCCTGGATATGTAAATAAACCCTATATCATAAAGACACCACAGTCTCCACTTTGCCTCATTCCGAAAAGGAAACACAAACCAGTTTTCTGACAGGGTTCCATGTGCACAGCTACAGAGGGTGGTGGGAATCCAGGCAACCCACCCACTTGTTTCCAGGGTTCCTCTGCTGAATTTGGCTCTTTGCTGAATCAAGGCATCTTTTCTTGAAATCATGAAATCATGAAATAAATCATGAACTAAATCATGAATTCATGAAATCCTGCATTAAATCCTGCATTCATGATTAAATAATGAATTCATGAAAATAATGAAATCATGAATCAAATCATGAATTCATGAAAAACAACTATGAACTAAATAATGAATTCATGAAATCCTCAATTAAATCATGAATCCATGAATCAAATTATGAAATCATGAATCAAATCATGAAATCATGAATCAAATCATGAAATCATGAATCAAATCATGGAATAATGAAATCATGATTTAATTTATGAAATCATGAAATCATTTTCTAAGGAGGTGAACAGGGGTGGTCCTAGAAACGGCTACCATCATGTCAATAAGCCCTCTTCACTCTCTGGAAGCTACAGGGACATTAACAGCCCTGTGTCTTGTTTTCGGACTACGCTTGATATTCAGTAATTAATATTGATTCCATTAAAGCCAGCAAGCAGAATGATGATAAATAGGCTAATGGTAACTATTCGATCTCCAGTGATGTGGGGGAAAATGGGAACTGAACTTTGAATTTTGAGGGGATTTTTTTAAAAAATCCTGTCTGCTCGCACACCACTGCCCCTGCCAGAGAAGCAAGGAGAAGCACCTGGTTTCTGGAGAGATCTAACAGACGTCTTGCAAGATCTTGCCAGAAGTTGAAGTTGTGTGAACTTGGTAAGCGTGAGGCATGAGGTATGAGGCACCTACCCATTTTGCCTCAGGTGGCAAAACAGGATGGACCACCCCTGACCCCACCAAGAAAGAGGGAAGAGCTGAACAAGGGTTGTACCAGATTACTTCCTGTTTAGATACCTTATAGCAGAAGTAGATGTTTTGAAGAGCAGTTGGAGATAACAAGATGGCATGCTGCAATACTTTGGGGCCCTGGACCATTTCCCTTCTTGTTAGATTATCTGCAGTTTGTAAGCAACTACTGTAATTAAAAATAACGAGGGCCTGGCAGCACCGCTAATGCTATTATCTTTAAAACATCAGGCTTCAACGACTCACCAGCAAAACAGCCCAGTTGAGAAATCTCTTTAAAATGCTCAGTGGTTGCTGACGGTACATTAGGATAATCTTCCCCGCCTGCAAATCAGAGAAACATAATGAAAATACAAACAAAAAAATCAGGGAAGCAGTGATTATTTTCAGTAAGCTAATATGGTTTATTTTTCACCTTGTACTCAAAGAGGCAAGCTAACTCGCTAAAGTGGTGGCAAAGGGCAGCTTGAACACATACATTTTGCCACAGGCAGAAGCTGGCAGAGAGGAATGTAACTTGAACAAAGGCAGGGAAGTCTTCTAGATCAGACCGTCAGTTTTCTGTGCCTGAGACATGGCTCTCTGATGCTCCCACATTTCCCCCCCAACCATCCCCCATCAATTACTGAGAGAAGAAACAGCATTCATAAATTATCAGAGGGAAGAGAAAATCACAATGAAATCCTCAAGACAGAGAGCAGGATTTTTCTTATGCTTGCCTTCCTTTTGAGGTAGGTCAAGATGTTTTGTGATTGCGCCTTCATTTCATTCTATAAATACTCACTGTGCTGTCTGGCATGGGAAGGCATCATGATCTAACTCTTCCTATGGGGCCTTTTCAAAACAAGGTGTGGAGAGTTGGGAGGGGGTGCAGTGTACTGGAGAGACATTAATGACATGAAAACCACACAGACCTGCCTCAGCCACCTCACAATGATAAGTTAAGTTGAAACTTGTACCCACCAGAATTATGAATAAATTCTAAAGCACCCTGAGAGTGAGAGAGAAGAATCATAGACCTGAGGAATTGTAAAGTTGGAAGGGACCACTAGTCTTCCAGTCGAACCCCCTGCAATGCAGGAATCTTTCGCCCAACATGGGACTTGAACCCACTACCCTGAGATTAAGAGTCTCATGCTGTACCGACTGATCTGTCCCATACACAGAAGTCCCGTTATTCTTATTCTTATTCTTTCATTTCTATATTGCTTTATATTTTAAAGAAAAAAAATCTCAAAACTCTGTACAACACAGAATAAAACTTACAAGGAATTGGGAGGGCAAGTTTCAGCACAGCACTAATGCTGACCCACTTCAGCTTTCAGCCCAGAGTTGGTGTGATGGCCTGGGATTCGGACTCAGAAGCTGAACCTGAGGAATCCCAGCCTGCACAGGAGTCCCCGCCTCCAGAACCAGCTGAGCCGGAGCTGGGGATTGAGCCTGAAGGGTCCTCACCTGTGTTGGATCCTCAGGTGCAGGCACCAGTTGAGTCTGCTCTGGCTCCGGAGGTGATGGAGGACCCATTGCCTGCAGGTGGTCCACTCTCAGCCCTGTCAGGAGAAGGTGAGGTTGCCTCTGGGTCCGGTAACCCTTCAGCCTCTCCTGAGCTGCAGAGGCTCAGGGCAGAGAGGCAGAGGGAACTAGGTTCCTGCAGGAGGAGTGCTCGCCTCCAGGCCAGGAGAGGCGAGTCACCTGTGGACCGGGACCGCCCTATGCCTCGGGGCAGATAAAAGCCAGTCAGCCCCAGTCCCAGGTTGCGGGAGCAACATTGTTGGTAGCCTGTTCCTGCCTGCACCCTGTCCTGCTCTTCTGCCAGAGTTCCTGACCTCACCCGACTCCCTACCTTGGACCCCGCTTCAGCTTTGACGGACAGCCTCCATACCACACCCTCGACCTCGGACTGGACTCAGACCTCGCCGCACGGTTAACCCTCAGTACCAGCACAGTTGGGATGGGTAAAGTGGAGGATCAGGATTGAGAAGGGAAGCAGAACTGACAGAGGAATGAAAGGGGGAATAAGGAACGGAGAGAAACCAACTGGGTGTGGGCTTGATGAAAAGGAAAGCATGTCTCTGGCAGTAAAAGGTAAAGGTAAAGGGACCCCTGACCATTAGGTCCAGTCGTGGCCGACTCTGGGGTTGCAGCGCTCATCTCGCTTTATTGGCTGAGGGAGCCGGCGTACAGCTGGGTCATGTGACCAGCATGACTAAGCCGCTTCTGGCGAACCAGAGCAGCACACGGAAAACGCCGTTTACCTTCCCGCCGGAGCGGTACCTATTTATCTACTTGCACTTTGACGTGCTTTCGAAACTGCTAGGTTGGCAGGAGCAGGGACCAAGCAATGGGAGCTCACCCCATTGCGGGGAATCGAACCGCCGACCTTCTGATTGGCAAGTCCTAGGCTCTGATACCCACAGCGCCACCCGCGTCCCTACGTCTCTGGCAGTAGCCATTACTAAACATAAACTCAGCCAGGTGCTGCTCCCTGCAAACTTCTTCAGAAGAGCTGCTGAACATGGCAACTGCATATTAGTCAGGCTACAAGTCATGATGGCTACATGCTTGCTCCAAGGCAGCATACCAGCTGCTGGGGCGCAACAGTGGGAGGCTATTGCACTCATGTCCTGCTTGTGGTGTTCTGTGGGCATCTGATTCCCTGATTTGGGAAACAAGTGTGGTGGACTATGGAACTTTAGTCTGATCCAGCAGGGCTCTTCTTATGTTCTTAAGGCTGTCTAAGTCAGGAATATTCACAATTCACATAATGCCTGCACTGCACCACTGTACCCTGGCTGCTGTCTCTTCCCTAGACCTTTAAACGCTTCCTCATGAGACCTGGGGAGGGATTCCAAACTCTGAAAGAGATGTTATTTAAATGTCTTTTTTTTGGGGGGGGACAAACAACCCCACCATGGTGGGCATTTTAAGACATGGTTAGGAAGCACATAGGTTGCCTTTGGCAACAAACAACACTTTAGCAACAAATAAAGAAGAAGCTGTATACCCCCACGACTATGCAAATAATGCACATTGCAAAACAATTTATGTATCTATCTATGTATAAAGTGTGCATGCATTTAAAAAGTTAACTGTAGAGAACTAAGAAGAGCAGCTTTCCTGGCTAGAGTCCAATAGGTGTTGAATAGGTGGAGGAAGGAAATTTGCTTGATAGTCCATTTTCACAGATTCCTCCAATGTCCCTATGGCTCTCTCCTTGTCCAGACATATGTTTATTCTAAAGTGCAAATGCAGCAGGAATCTAAAAACTCTTGAACTTCTTCTCACTATAACCTCTTCCCAGGATCCTATTCCTGAATCAGGCAGTGTCTCCATCTATATGTCAAAATTGCACTGTCATCACCTAAGATTACGAGCGATTTTGTGAGCCGAACTGTGACCTGATTCAGGGCTAAGTTGTGTGGTGAGAAGTCTGTTTGCAGAGGAAGATTATTTGTTTTAAGTGAAATCAAATTCTCAGGCAGAAAGAGTCTGTGGCATTTTTCCATAAAGCATCTTGAGTAGGGAGCCATTCAGGAGGATAAGCAGAAATCTTTGCCAGCCCTGCTAAAAGTTTCCAACTGGGACCATTAGAACAAACAATACCTTAAGCCAATGCAGGCATCAATATCCATTATTTGTGAAGGAAACTTGTTTCTTTCTAGTAATTAATGGTATGAACGTCCTGATCCTGCAAAGGTAGTGATGAATGGAATATTTACCTCCCTGTAAGGCCAGAGATGCAGAATGCCACCATGTTCCAAAGGTAGGAAAAACACTTGCAAGATTCCAGAAATGAATGGAGGTAATAGGTACCTCTTTTAGTGTGGAGTCTTATTTTGCAAATTTCAATTCATCAATGTGCCACTAAAACACACACTGGGGATACATTTTTTTATACACTTGCTTGTTCCTGCATTTAGCGCTGGTTTGTGTATGGATGTCCATTTTAATATGTGTAATATTATTATTCAAATATTTTATAACATCTTCCAGAGTCAAACCAGCAGCTTTTCAAAACAGTTCATAACATAAAACAATCATAAACGAGGTCAAAAATCAACTATGAATCTCATAAACATATGAAAACAATCTCTTTCCAGATAGCAGCAGTGGTTAAAATCACATCACTAAGAAGCAGTGGAGTGAAGCTTGGAATGAATTAGTCCAGTTGAAAGTTCACTGAACTAGTTCAAAAAATGCTGAACAGCACCCGAAAGTCATTCCCATAACTACAGAGCAAACTAAAGGTGAACTAAGTTAATTTTGGGGTAGAACTCTTGTTCATCTTCACACTCATTTTCTGCTCTCCAGCCAGAAGCTTGGACTCTTAAGATGGTATCCAACTAGTGCATCCTGTCAGCACAAGGATTTATGCTTGAGCAATGGAATTGTCCTACTCTCCTGTCATGGACTGGCTGGATGCAGAGCACTGCTATGAGGTACCAGCTGGGGAACCCCCGAGAGAAGAAGGTTCAGAGCCAAGGGATGGGTAGCAGGATGACTATGAGTGGTCAGAGGGGGAAGAGGGAGCAAGCTGGGAAGAAGAGATGTTGGAAGCTGAAGAAGTAACAGGGCTTAATGAGCAGGAAGAATCTGTGACAGACAGCAGTCCAGAATCAGTGACTGGAGAGGAGGGAGGGGCAAGAGGCAGAGATGAGTCAGGCTGCTGAAGAAGCCAGGGGGTCTCCCCCTCCTGCTGCAACCAGCTTCCCTCCCTCCTGGTCTTCCAGAACCAGAAGAGGTATGAAGAGGGCAGAGTAAAGACAGGCAAGGCAACAAAGTTTCAGATTGCTTGGGAAGAACCTGGGGGGAGGAGGAGACTTCAGGAAAAGGTGGGTACTGTCAGTCCCTACAACTGCCTCATAGGGGCAAGATCTACCGGGAAGCGTTGTTGTACTCACTAGGCCTGACTTTCTGAGCTGTCCTGTTTCTTTGATTAAAGAGTTAACTTCACTGATTTTGTGTGAGTTATTGCTGACCTGCTCCTGACACCTGCTAGTGACATCTCCCCCCCTCCCCCGCAATACACACTCTGTGCACTCTCCAAATCTTCTCTGGAGGGTTGAGGAATCAGAACAGATTTAAGGGAGATGCAGAGGGGGAGAGGGGGCAGAGTTCTATCTACAAAGAGGCCGTTGCAGCGTGACAAGGGAAATATCCTCACTGGACTTTGATGTCACAAGCACTATCCAATAGGAGCTCACAACACTTGGAATAGACAACATTCAGAATTGCTATGGGAGCAGTAGAAGGTGCAGGACAGAGATTGCATTGTCTTAAACTAAGGAAAAGATGAGGCCTGTGTGGTTTTGAGTCTCTGAACC